CCTCTTCCTGGAATGCTTTCCCCTACAATATCCTCATGCTCATCCCTCACCTCCTCCACATCTGCTTGGTCAAATGTCCCTGACCACACAACTTAAAATTGCAAATCCCACCTCCCTCCCCCCTCACAACTTCTCCCCTCTCCTGGCTTTATTTCTCTCCACAGCACTTAACATGTCAGGTATTAAGTCATTTACAGGCATACCTCAGAGATATCATAGGTTCGGTTCCAGACCAACGCAAAAAGCATATATCGAAATAAAGCAAGTCACGTGATTTTTTGGTTTCCCGGTGCATATAAAAATTATGTTTAGTCTATTAAGTGTGCACTATTATGTTTAAAAACACAACGTACATAACTTAATGAAAAATACTTTAAAATGCTAACCATCATCTGAGCCTTCAGCAAGCCACAGTCTTTTGTCAATAGTAATATCAAAGATCACTAATCACAGACCAACATAACAAACATAATTATAATAATGAAAAAGTTATAAATATTGGGAGAATTATCAAAATGTGACAGAGACCCAAAGTGAGCAAATGCTGGAAAATGTTGGGAAAATGGTACCGATAGACTTCCTGCAGGCAGGGTTGCCATAAACCTTCAATTTACAAAAAACACGACATCTGCGAAACTCAGTAAAGCAAAGCACAATAAAATGAGGTATGCCCATACTAACTTCTCATTTATTATCTGACTGCCTCAATCCACTGCCGTACATCCAGCACCTAGAATGGGGCCTGGCACAGAGAGGCTCTCAACAAATACTGGTTAAATGAATGAATTCCAAATATCTATTGAGCACCTGTTTTGTACCAGGCACTGTCTTAGCCACTGCTGAATTCCCAGACAGTGCCTCCCAGGGCTCACGGGCTCACGGAGGAGCAGACATTGAAGGACTAAGGTGGGTAATATGACGAGCTAACATACAGGGGTGGCGTCAAGGAGGCCTAGATTGGGGTGGAGGTCAGGGAGGGCTTCCTGGAAGAAGAGACATCTGAAGTGAGGCCTGAGGATCAATCCAGTTCTCATTGGCTGAGGAGGGGCTGCAGGGCCTTCTGTAACCAGCACCCACACCCCCTAGGGCTGTAAGCCCACCCACCTCCAACTCAGCTAGAATGGGGGCAACCCAGCGAGGGCAGGGAGCAGCCTCCTTGGGTGGGGCAATGAGGGTAGGGCTGGGCGAGGTCAGCCATCCTACCGTCCTTCCTCCAGGAGATCTTGGGGAAGGGGACGCCCCAACATTCGCAGGACAGCCTGGCGGGGTGCCCCTCGGTCACAGTCAGGGTGCGAGGCTCTGGTGAGGGGAATACTGGAGGGACTGAGTGAGAGAGAGGAGGTGAGGTGGGCAGGAAGTTGTGGGCTGGGATAAGAAAGGGACCCCGTGGGGAGAGGGTTGGGTGGAGGAGGGCTGTATCCTAGAGCCCACTCAAGGCAGCCCCAACCCCAGGGCTTGAGAGCCAGCCCTCACAGGGGCAGGGGGAGGGACCCCAGCCCAGCCCAGGAGACCCTCACCCCAGACATTTAGGTTGTAGTGTTTCTCCGAGCAGCCTGCCTGGTTCCGCGCCTCGCAGGTATAGCGGCCTGCGTCCTCCACCCCGGCTCTGTCCACCTGGCGGAGAGCAAAAACAACCCATCAGCGGGGGCGGCACAGATGGGATTACACCCGGACAGACTGTGTGACCTTGGGCATGTCACTTTACGTTGCTGAGTCCCCCCTCCCACCCGGAACCACGGAGCAGTGGTAGCACCTGCTGTGCCTCTTGTACCGGGAAGTTTCTGGAAGTTTCTGGAAGCCAGGGCCTTGGTGGCCTGACATGGGCCGGGCACAAATGGCGGCCCTGCCAGCCTCACCCCACTTCACATCCACAGCCCAGTCCTGTTCCAAGGAGGAGGCGGAGGGGACCCTGTCCTCAGGGGTCAGATCCTGACCTAGGGGGGTGAGGGAGCTAGGCTGTGGCTTTGCAGAATGAAGGGAAGGAGGGGGCGGTATTCCAGGCAGAGGAAACCAAACAAAGGGGCTCAGAGTTGGGGATGATCATATCACAAGATGTAGAGGGGTGGGAGAAAGAGGAACAGGCTGGAGTGGAGGGTTCTCCCCGCGCCTTGGAGAGGTACGTCCCTCCCCTAGCTGACATGGACGAGCTGTTCTCTGGGGCAGGTGGGGCCTCACAGGCATTCTCTAGGACTCTCCCAGCCACCCCAGAAGAAAGGCACCAGGTGCTCACAGGTGAGAGAGCGGAGGCCAGGGTGGTCAGACACGACCACCCAACGGTGCAGTAGTCCGGAGGAGGTGGAGCTAAACTTTAAATCCAGGCTGTGACTCCAGAGTCCCTGACCCTAATTAACCCCTGCCTTGCTGGGCCAGACGAATGGCCTTAAATGCCCAAAGGCAAAGAGGCTTTCGAACAAGGAGTGAAAAACTCGTGGGGGTCCTGAGGGAAGTGCCCCCCACCCCCCGCCACTGAGGGCTCAGTCCTGGGGCTTCGCTCTCCATCCCTGTTTGGCTGGAAGCAGCTCTGATGGGTCCTGGGACTGGAGGGGCCTGCAGGTCACAGTGAGCTGAACGGATGCTCACGGGGGCACTTCAGCCCGCCCTGTTCAGGGCTCAGCTCTGCTCACAGTGGGGGCCCCCTTGGTGGCCTGGGAGGCCGCACACCTCCAGCAAGGCCTTGTCTGCGGAGAGGCGGATGCCAGGCCGGGGCTCCAGGGGGCGGCCGTCCTTCCGCCAGCTCAGCACGGGAGGGGGCACAGCGTGGCTCTGGCACTCCAGGGCCACTGACTCGTTGGCCACGACGGACACATTCAGCTCTTCTCCAAGGATGCTTGGGGGCACTGTGGGAGTGGGGGGGGCAGGGACTGTCTCAGCAGCCAGGAGCAACCACCAGGGATGGGAAGTCACCATTAGGATGAGGGCCCACCCCCTGAGCTGCAGCCCTCTCGTCCTCCCCTTGATGACCTTTAGAGGAGGCCCCCAAACCTGAATAGGATGGTGCATTATAACAACATCAAAATCCTGAACATGATTTTGTACTTTAGTTGTACCAGATGTTACCACTGAGGAAAGGGCCCACCCGCCCACCTGTCCACAACAGGGGAGTTCCCACTCTAGGAGAGGGCTCTGGGGGTCCAACTGACCCCTACATGAAGGCAGACACAGTCCCAGGCCAGACCTCCCACATCCAACCCCCGGGGATGCCCCAGCCCCTCCTTCTCGAGCCGCCGGCCTACACCCAGCAGAGTCCAGGGCCTGACACTCACTGTGGACATGCAGGATGACGTCCCGGCGGTCCTCGCCCACCGCATTCACGGCCACGCAGGAGTAGCTGCCAGAGTCGGAAGCCCGGGCACTGGCCAGCATGAGGACCCGGCCCCCAGGGAAGACCTGTGGCCCAGGAGGAAGTCCACATGAGGTCAGGCCCTGCTAGCAGGCACAGTGGGCAGCTTGTCCCAGACCCCCGGGGCCCGCCACAATGCAGAGGAACCTCGAGCTCTACCCAGACCTCAGGACCTCTGCTGGCTGG